GGCGGCCGCTGCGTCCCGCCGTGTCCCCACCATGGCCGCGCCGGTGACGCTGCCCCGGGCCCTGCTGCAGGGTCCCATCGTGCGGTAAGAGCCGCCGGGGGCCCAGGCGTCCGGCAGGGTGCAGGGAGGGGAGGCTCCAATTTGGGGCTCCTTTTGAACAAGGGAAACTGAGGCGCTGGGTGGCACCGGGCACCCCCGGCCCTGCGGTAGCCACCGGGACTTTGCGCCCAGAACCGCCCCGGCCGGGTCCGATCCGGGCGGCTCCGGTGCCCTTTGCCCTCCAAACCCCAGGGCAGTTTCGGGGCCAGAAAGGAACTTTCTGCGTCTTTTGCAATCGGCTCTGGGCTCGGCAGCTCTGCTGGCCCCGGGTGCTGGTTCCGGGCACCGCTGGGCGCAGGGCAGGGGGGTTGCATGCAGGATGGGTGCGGGGAGCCCCGCGCGGGGTGCAGGGTGCTGAGCTCGGGGTGCTCCGTGCAGGTTGCTGGGTGCCACGTGCCCGTGGTGGGGCGCGGGGTGTGGGATGCCGTTTGGATAAGCGGGCACAAGAGCGGTGTGCGGGCCTGTGCGCATCCGTGTGGGCACCCATGGGTGCTGCATGCATGTGCGCAGGTCGTGCATCACGTGTGAGCGTGCAGGGGGGGTGTGCAAAGCCTGCGCGTGGGTGCACGTGAGGTGCATAAATGTGCGTGTGGATCCTACCTGTCTCTAGCACCATGTGTGGAGTGTGCAGGGTCAGTGCATTGGTGCGTGGGTGCTCGGGCGCATGGGTGCCCAGGTGCATGGGTGCCCAGGTGCATGGGTGCCCAGGTGCATGGGTGCCCAGGAGGTGCATATGTGTGCACAGGTCCTACCCCTCTTTAGCATGAGAGTGCAGGGGCCTTGCAAAGCCTGTGCTTGCGTGGATGGGTGCACGAGCCTGTGCTCGGGTGCCAGGGTGCCCAAGCCTGTGCACATGTGCATGGGAGGTGCAGCCCGTACCCATCCAGCATCGTGCATGTACATAAGCGTGCAGGGACCATGCACATCCCGTACGCGGGTGCATGAACACTTGGGTGCATGGGTGCATGGGTGCTCGGGTGCATGGGTGCTCAGGTGCATGGATGCTCAGGTGCATTGGTGCTCAGGCACCCAATCCTGTGCGTGGCTGCCCAGGAGGTGCATGCACATGTGCAGATCCTCCCTCTAGCATCACACACGCACGCAAGCCCACAGGGACCCTGCAGGGACCCCAAACCCCACATGGGTGCCCGGGTGCCCACGCTGGCGCCGCTTTGCAGCCTCCGCTACATGGTGAAGCAGCTGGAGACGGGCGAGGTGAACATCGAGGAGCTCAAGCGCAACCTGGAGTACACGGCGTCACTGCTCGAGGCCGTCTACATCGATGAGACCAGGTTCGGCCGCGGCGGCGGCGG